AAAAAAAAAAAAAGAAAGTTAACACTCTTATTGCTGATATGGAGAAAGTTCAGTGGCTTGGATAAAAAATCAAATCAGCCACATTTCATTAACATTCCCTTTAGCTAAAGTTTAATCAAGAGCAAGGCGCTAACTCTCTTTAATTCTATTAAGGCTGAGAACAGTGAGGACCTGTAGAAGAGAAATCTAAAGCTAACAGAGGTTAAGGAAAGAAGCCATCTCCGTAACATCAAAGTGCAATGTAAAGCAGCAATTTCTGATGTTGAACTATAAAGCAAGCTATCTAGAACATCAAGCTAAGATCACTGATGAAGGGCTACACTAAACAACAGATTATCAGTGCAGACAAAAAACAGCATTCCATTGGAAGATAATCATCTGAAACTGTCATAGCTAGAGAGAAGTTAATGCCTGGCTTCAAAGCTTTGGAGGACAGGCTTACTCTCTAGTTAGGAGTTAATACAGCAGGGGACTTAAGTTGAAGTTATTGACCATTCCAAAAATCCTAAGGCCCTTAAGAATTACGCTAAATTTACCTTGCCTGTGCTCTATAGATGGAACAACAAAACCTAGATGATAGCACATCTATTTATAGTATGGTTTACTAAATATTTCAAGCTCAATGTTGAGATCTACTGCTCAGGTTCATTCATCTGAAATGAAGATTCATCTCAAGTTCATTTCAAAATATTATAGCTCATTGACAATGCCCCTAGTCCCCTAAGAACTCTTATTGAGACGTAAGAAATGTATGGGAAGACTAATGTTTTCTTATCTGCTAACACAACTCTGCAGCCCATGGATCAAGGAGTCGTTTCAACTCGCAAGTCTTAATATTTAAGCAATATGTTTTCATAAGACTATAGATGCCATAGATAGTGATTTCTCTGATGGATCTGGGAAAATAAATTGAAAACTTTCTGGAAAGATTCACCATTCTAGATACCAATAAGAACATTCGTGATTCATAGAAGGAGTCAAAATATCAACATTCACAGAGGTTTAGAAGAAATTGATTCTAATCCTCATAAATGATTTTGAGGGGTTCAAGATTCAATGGAGAAAGTAACTATAGAATTAGAAGTAGAGCCTGAAGATATACTGAATTGCTTCACTTTCATGATAAAAACTTGACTGAATGGGCGGCGCCTGTGGCTCAAAAGGGTAGGGCGCCAGCCCCATATGCCAGAGGTGGTGGGTTCAAACCCAGCCCTGGCCAAAAAAAATAAAAAAACTTGAATGAATAATGAGTTGGTTCTTACAAATCAATAAAGAGGTAGGACAGCACCTGTAGCTCAAGGAGTAGAGTGCCGGCACCATATGCCAGAGGTGGTGGGTTCAAACCCAGCCCTGGCAAAAAAAAATAAAAATAAAAATAAAATAAAGAGGTGACTTTTTGAAATGGAATCTACTCCTAGTTTTAGGGCAGTGCCTGTAACTCAAAGGAGTAGGGCGCTGGTCCCATATATCAGAGGTGGCAGGTTCAAACTCAGCCACCGCCAAAAATTGCAAAAAAAAAAAAGAAACTGCCACAGCCACCCTTCAGCCACCAGCCACCAACATCAAGGTAAGATCCTCCACCAGCAAAAAAATGACTCACTGGAGGCTCAGATGATTGTTAACATTTTTTAGAAATGAAGTATTCTTTAAGGTATGTACATTGTTTTTACATACATAATGCTATTGCACACTTACTAGATTATAATAGTATAAACATAACTTTTGTATGAACTGGAAAACCAAAAAATATGTGTGACTCCTACCTTTTCTGCAATATTTACTTTATTGCAGTGGTCTGAAACACAACCTGCAGTATCTCTGAGGTATGCTGAACATGGCTCAGTAATGAATACCATTAACACAGTCATAACAGTGCAAACACTGAACATTAGCCTAATAAAAACTATGAAGGTAAAATGGCAAGACAAGAAGGGCATGTACATGCATTCCAGCCTAGGGGTGGGTGGAATGCATTTCTGAGTGAAAAAGAAAACTGAACTCTTGCATAGTGGGAAGTTAACAGATGATGCTTGTAACTGAAAAACTAAGAAGTAGCTCACAGTGCATATATTATTTAGATATGTAGTAAACGCCAAATAAATGAAATGAAAGCATTTAAAATGAGTGGCTCTAAAAATGGGAAATTTGTGGACTATTTGGAGTGGGAAGAACTACCTTTTTTAAATTACAGAAATTACAAACAGAACCATTCTGTTCTCTTTTTCTTTAAAGTCTTATAGGCAAGAGATAACATGGCATGATAAGGAACTTAAAACACAGCGGGGATCCAGTATGGAAAAGAGAGAATAGCAATAAACAATACCAGTGATACAGGCAAATCCTGCTTTTTAGAAATAATAAATGCTATACAACTGATTGCTTATATTGGGATAATCGGGAAAATGTAAATGTAAACTAGGTACAATAATGTTATTGTATTATGTAGAAGGTTCTTTTTAAATATGTATTTTAAAGAGATACATGTCTAGCAATATAAAATTATAATTTCTATAATTTATTTTTAAAATTCTTCAATAATTAAAAAGTACAAAATGTTAATAATTATTAAGTCTAGGTGATGAACATATGAGTATTTATCATATTATCTCTGTTTTTCAGGATGTTTGAAGATTTTCAAAATAAAAACAAAAAAACTATTTTATAAATACCTGTGCATGAAGTAATGAGTTCAATTTCCATGATTATCTTTAAATGGGGACAGGAGGAGACTAGAAATATTCTACAGTTATCTTACCATATCCTGCCATAGAAGCACCATTCTCCACATCCACTGTGTTCTTGTTTTCCTCTGCTAGAGCTTTAACATATCTTTTGCTTAAATCTAGGATTTGTTCACGTAACTTGACACTGCTTTGATGTCTTGGTTGTTGAAAAGTATAGTGCAGTAACATCAATCCCCAAATGAGTCCAAATACAAGCAACAGTAAACTCAATTTCTGAGACATATTTTTTCTTGAAATTGTAAGAAACATTTCTGATGGAGCAAACAGACTTGGCTGAAAAATGATAACTGGAGACAAGCCACCAAACAAGACTTTTGAAAAGAAAAAAGAAAAATATTTCCTCTAATATTGTATACTCTTCATCTTCACCAAGGTTGTATCCATTCTATTAACTCTGTAAAATTAAGGGGGGAAAAAGTGATTAGTCTTAATCTCTATCAGTAACAAAACAGACAACGATAAAGAAAAGATTCTACAGTTTTGATTTGGAACTCTATCCTCTTCTTTGTCAACTTTCTCCAACACTAAGTAAGCTTTCTGGTCTTTTATCAGTTTTATTTACACACTTTTTCAGAATTTAAATCAGAAATAAATGTCAATTCATTGAAAATATTTGAAAAAAATGTCCCCATGGTCATAAAAATCTTTGGGGGTTTTTTTGTTTGTTTGTTTTTTGAGACAGACTCTCATTACATCGCCCTTGGTAGAGTGTAGTGGCGTTACAGCTCACAGCAACCTCAGACTCTTGAGCTTAAGGATTCTCTTGCCTCAGCCTCCCTAGTAGCGAGAACTACAGACGCCCGCCACAACGCCCAGCTATTTTTTTGTTTTGGCCAGGGCCGAGTTTGAACCCGCCACCCTCAGTATGTGGGGCTGGCACCCTATTCACTGAGCCACAGGCGCCACCCACACAAAGTGATTTTTCAAGCAAAAATGTCTGAAGTTTTTTTTATGAGGGCTGCCTGGAAAGTATTCAGCCATGTACTATGAAAAAGAGGCATACGTGGCTGAATACTTTCCAGACAACTCTCATATTTATATTACATTTATTCTTCATTCATAAATCTTTACTGGCTCCTCTGTCTCCTCAAGTATGACCTGCCTTTGTGTTATGCTATTTCTGCTACCACCCAGTGGAAGGATCAAACCAAGGGCAAAGAGGGAACTTGAGTTAATGACAACAACCATTTTACCGTATCACTTACTAAGATACTACTCTAAGCACCTTTTACAAATTAACTCATTTTATCATCACATCACATACTAATAATATTCTCACTTAACAGGGAAGGTGAAGTTGAATAACTTAGCCAACATCTTAAAACTGCACAGTGGTAGAGACCAGATTCAAAGCTCAAGCTTTTAATCACTGCCCTTTACTAAGGCAAAGACAATAAATACAATAGTAACAGGCTCTTATTATGTGCCTAACTCTAAGGTAAAAATTTCATGAGTGTTATTTCGTTTAATGTTTACAATAACACCACAAGGAAGATGTTATTACTATTGTTACTATACTCAATTTAAAGACAATCAAATTAAGATTTAGGTTAACCTGCCTAAGATTTTTATCCAGGCCTAATGACTTCAGTTACCTAAACTCTGGCAAGAGCTAAAATTCCAAAGGTTCATAATCTAGCTCTGTGAGAATTCATAGGTTTTACAAAACTTCAAAAAGTAGCAAATCTCAAGAATATAATGGAATCAGGTGGTGCCTATAGCTCAGAGGGTAGGGCGCCAGCCACATATACCAAGGCTGGCAGGCTCAAATCCAGCCTGGGCCTGCTAAACGAACAATGACAACTGCAACAAAAAAAAATAGTCAGGTGTTGCGGCAGGGGCCTGTAGTCCCAGCTACTTAGGAGGCTGAGGCAAAAGAATCACTTAAGCCCAAGAGTCTGAGGTTGCTGTGAACTGCGATGCCACAGCACTCTGCAAGAGCAACATAGTAACACTCTATCTCAAAAAAAATAAAGTAAAAATAAAATGACAGGCTGCTCACCACCTTGCAGTCTCCTTAAAGGATGAATGGTGGTACTAGCATCAGAATAGAAAGTAAGCATACATAGAGGAAAAGGCAGAGGCCTGGCTGGTGACGAAACACCCCCAGACTCATTAATTGCAGGGAATAAAGAGGCCTAGTTTCAACCAAGTGCTATTCAGTGTTAGGGGCCCAAAGATTTACGTTGTGAACTATAGGCTCATATTGCTCTGTATTGATTGTATAGTAAGGCCTGATTGTGCCACTAGATTCAGAAACGAGGCCTTGATGAATGAAAGGTCTCCACGGTCTTGACTGCATGGACTGTGTCTGCTCAGCACAGCCCTCAACAAAATAAAAGCATTCCAGATGCCTATCTCAGAGGGAAGTCAGGCCTGGCATGGTGGCTCATGCCTGTAATTCCAGCACTCTGGGAGGATGAGGCAGGTGGATTGCCTGAGCTCAGGAGTTCAAGACCAGCCTGAGCAAGAGCAAGACCCCATCTCTAAAAATAGCTGGGCGTTATGGCAGGTACCTATAGTCCCATCTATTTGGGAGGCTAAGGCAAGAGAAATGCTTGAGCCTAAGAGTCTGAGATTGTTGCGAGCTATGATACCATAGCACTCTACCAAGGGTGACAAAATAAGACTATCTCAAAAAAAAAAAGAAGAAGAAGAAAGTCAAGAACTTCTACAGGGGCTACAACAGTAACCAATTTATACGCTTTGTAACTTTTTAGTGTTTGTTACATGTTTTTATATAGTAGTAAGAAGTAAGATATTTAGTATGAAAAGAGTCTGTCTTTGGGAATAGCAAAAAGGTAAGAAATGCGGAGCACTTAATCCCTTTTGCGCTAGAACACCAAGGAGTAAAGGAGTTACAGGAACTACCAGGAAGAAAGGATACTCTGGAGACTTCTCCAAGTTAAAAAGATGGCCTTAAGTCAACCAGTGCCTGATAGGCTAAGCATTTCAAAAGCTCATGAAGACTACCTGAAGCAACCCCAAAAGGCCTGAAAACTACTGTATCTAAGGTTTATTTCCACAAGCAATTCCAACCAAAGCCAGTAGAAGTGACTAAGATTTCTAAAAGGAGACAAGCCTGCCTTTGGTTTCTTCTCAAGGAGTGCTTCTCGTTAAACTCACCTAGAGTTTTTGTTTTTAAAATCACATCCTATACAAATTAAATTAGAATGTCTGGGGATATGAGTCAGGCATCAGTATTTTTTAAAGAACACTAAGTAACTCCATATGCAGCAAAGTTTGAGCACCACCAGCTAAATCTCAAATATTTTCATGAGGCAGCAACAAAAGCTGTAGTAGGGCTACTACTACAGTTCATTACCTGTGACATAGACATCCTGCTAATAGACTTCATAATGACCTTGAAGGCAAAGGAGGAGGGGAACAAAAAACAAGTGACCTCTGCTGGAACCAAAGTCATTTCTGCCAGAGCAGGCCAGGCCTCATATTTACTAGGCAAGGGTGGAGGTAGAGTGAAGAGAAAGCAATCTCAACTGGTACCTCTTCAGTGCTTAGTATCACCCTGAATACATTTGTTCTATGTCTCTGATTTCAATAAAAAGAGAGAGAGACAAGAAGTTTTGAATTCTTTAGCAACTGCAGGTAATTTAATTTAATGATTGAAAATAAAATAGTTCATAGCCTCAATCCTTAAGAAAGAAAAAGAAAGAAAAGGAAAGATTCAATATATCTTCTTTCTGTTCAATGTTCAAAGCCGCAAATGAGAGAGAGGAACTTGTACTTTGAACCTCCCCAGTTTTTCTTTGTTTCAAGTATTGATCCAGTGCCTGGAAGGCCACCTAGGTCAAGATAAAGTCACTAACTAAAAATGAGCTACCATTTAGGCATAGTCTTTAATACAGAGTCCTTCCTCCACCAAAATAGTCTATACTCTTTTTTTAATAGTCCATACTCTTAATAATTTTTTAATCTTAACTTCTAGACCACTATTTTGTTTACTAATCACTAAGTAAACAAACAAACTTCAAATTCATCCCAAGCAACAACTGGATTATTTTAAAACTAAAAATAAAATCATCACCACCTTCATCATCCTTATTATTTTGGCCTAAGATAAACTTCTGAATATTTTTAGGATTCCCAGGAGAAAGTTCTTACCTAGCTGCAGAAATTAGAAAAGAAATTAAAGTCTATATGGCACAAAGGTAGAAGAATCAAGGAGAAGAGCCACACTTAAAATGAAGTGCCAGTAAAGTGCTAGGTCTGAAGGGCAACAGAGTGTGTCCACTACATTCTTTCTGACCTGCCCAGCTCAGGGGCTTCCACTTGTAATCCTAGTACTCATGGAGGCTGAGCCAGGTAGTTTGCTTGAGCTCAGGAGTTTGAGACCAGCCTGAGCAAGATCGAGATCCCATTTCTACTAAAAACAGAAAAACTAGCCAGCGTTGTGGTGGGTGTCTGTAGTCCCAGCTGCTGGTAGGCGAAGGCAAGAGGATCACTTGAGCCCAAGAGTTTGAGGTTGCTATGAGCTATGACCACCTCTCAGAGAGGTTGCAGGCTTCAAAAGGTTTTGACTTAGAATTTGTGGACAAATGAAATATTTCACTGGATTAAGTCACTGAAGAACTACCCAGTCCTAAAAGATGACATAACACCATGCTGCTGCTAAGAACAGTTCATTCTCCAAATAGCCTAAAAGGGGACTAGATTATCTGTTTAAATGCTACCTCAGCTGGAAGGACTTCAAAACCTCATTACCTTATTCCACCCCACATTGATCTTCTAACTTCCACAGCACATTTGCTCTCTACCAATTGATTTTACACATCATATCATCCAATCATGTGTGTGAGCCTTGTCTCCTTAATTAAGTACCAGGTCCCTTACAGACAAGAATATCATGACTTACACTGAGACCATATTATACTAAGAGCCTGATGAACAATCAGCAGTCACTAAGAAACACCTTATTATTATTTTTAAACACATCCCTGAACCTACTCCCACCTTCTCCTAAGCAGCAATGTGACCTTCCTGCAATGATTCTGGGGAACAGAGAGGCAGAGGACAGAAATCTTCAATTATCCATTTGGAAGCTGGAAGAACCTGAGAAAAAATTCTAATCCCCTCAGATTTTAAATAAAGAAATCTAGTTTTCTTCTACACCAGAGTACATCTCTCCCTTATCTCCCCTATAAAGATTGTATTTGTAAAGAATGGAACAATTATAACATCAAATGAAGCTTTGTTCTGTTTTGCTTTAAAACAATGTAAACAGAAAATAGTAAAGGTAGTTTAGGACAATGATCCTACAATCCTGAACATGCTGAACTTGGACTATTTACTAAATTATCAATTGGACCATTAAAGTTTCAAAAATGCTTTATTCACACAAATCAAACTATCACAAAGTTGCTACAAAAAAGACTTTAAAAGTCTTAGTTGTTTAAACTGATAAAAAACTAAAATAGAAAAAAATATGAAATAAAACAAGGATAAATACAAGATCTTTAAAAGTAGAGACCTTTCACCATGATCAGCTAAAACACATTACACACTGTCAGAAAAAAGAATTTGGAAAGGAGGGGTCCACAAAGGCCCAGGCTCAAACACAACCTTTACTACATGCAGTTTCATTGAAAGCATGAAAGCACTCCGTTTATTTATTTGCTCAGTCATTCATTCACAGTAACATTTTTTTTTGAGACAGAGCCTCAAGCTGTCACCCTGGGTAGAGTGCTGTGTCACCACAGCTCACAGAAACCTCCACCTCTTGGGCTTAAGCGATTCTCTTGCCTCAGCCTCCCAAGTAGCTGAGACTACAGGCACCTGCCACAAGGCCCAACTATTTTTTAAAGCTTAATATATGGAAAAAAAGGAGAAATATAATGCATGTATTTTATAAGGATAACAGAGAGCTAGAGAGTAAATAAGTAAATTACTTATTTAAACTGTGCAAGAAGGCATATGAGCTTAAAGATTTTTGATACATTTTTAAATGTGTTACAAAAATACTTGTTTTGAGGAAAGGGCTTTTATACTGGTGTTATTTGGCGCAGTTTAGGACATACTTCTGGATCCTTGAGTGTAGCCTTTTGACTGAATCCAAATTTTACAGAACAAAACCTTTTAAAGTAGGTAGTTTTCCTTTTGTCCTAATATTTTCTATTTTTAATCCTTATTTTACCATTTTCTTCTTATTTATCTTTGTAATCGTCAATGTTATTGTCTTTTCCTTTTTTTTTTGAGACAGAGTCTCACTATGTGGCCCTTGGTAGAGTGCCATGATGTCACAGCTCACAGCAACCTTAAATTCTTGGGCTTAAGCAATTCTCCCAAGTAGCTGGGACTATAGGTGACCACCACAATGCCTGGCTATTTTTTGATTGTAGTTGTCACTGTTGTTTGGCAGGCTGGGGCTGGATTCGAACTTGCCAGCTCCGGTGTATGTGGCTGGCACCCTAGCTGAACTACAGGCACCGAGCCTTTCCTCCCTTTTCCAAATGTACCATCTAAAAATGATATGATATCTTGAAGTACATATTTCTGTGTTGTAGTTGGAATTTTATCGTACCTTCTCTTAAGGCAGTGTGTTTGAATCTTACACCTAGTTATGGAGTGGATAGACTGAGTCCTATGTTAAAACCAGCCCCCCTCTCCACCTCCCCATATTAGTCTTAGCCAGTATAATGTAGAGAAAATATTTTAAGAAAGGGCCCTTTCTCCTGAAATAATATTCCGGAGTCAAGTCTGTAGAGGGCTTATTTCTGAGTCTTTTTTGGAGAAAACTATCAGAATCTCTGAGCTGTGTAGAGCACACTGAAAGAAAAGTTTCACAAAACAATATCCGTAGTATGTATAGTTTACTCTGATCGTTTTTATCTTTTTTTTTTTAAGTGCTGGTTGCATACTAGCTAGTTGATTTTTGTTCTCTCCTTTTGAAAAACATGGGAGTCTTAGGCTTAGAATTTGGATGCCTAATTTTTCTCCATTTGTTGGTGTTGCATGGTCATTAATCCTTTCTGTGCTTCATTTTCTTTATCTTTATAGTAAAGGTATTCAGGTTTAAATACTCGTTGATTCTTTGTCTCTACTTTTCTCTAGTAATTAATTATGTTGGACTAATAATGTATTTGCCTTTAGGCCTCTGGCTAGGGAAAAACTACTGAAAAATGGCTTAAATATGTGATTATTTATGCAGTGTACTATTTGGCAAGTAGCATTACAGAGCTTTGAACAGCACTTTTTTCCAAAGATCTTGTGGGTTGAAGTAGACATTAGCGCTTGTAATAAATATAAAAATTCAGGAAAAATAATTACCCATGTTTGTTTTCTATTTTATGTTTCTTAACAAGGAATATTTTAGAGTTTGAGAAGTTGTAAATCCTTAATATGGGCCAAGCATGGTGGCTCACACCTGTAATCTCAGCACTTTAAGAGGCTGAGGGGGGAGGATCACTTGAGGCCAGGAGGTCAAGACCAACTTGTACAACACAGTAAGAATCTGTTTTTATTTTTTGTAAAATTAGCTGGGTGCCGTGGTGCATGCCTGTAGCCCTAAGTACTTGGGAGGCTGAGGAAGGAGGATCATTCAAGCCTAGTAGTTCAAGGCTGCAATGAGATATGATTAAACTATGAGCTTGCTACTGTACTCCCACCTGGGTGACAAAGTGAAACCCTGTCTCTAAAAAATAAAAATTAAAGCTTAATATGAGTTTTAAGTAAACACACTGGCAGATTGCTGCCTGGTCTTATCCATACCTCATCCTGCTACTGTCCCTTTCATATCAGAAAACACCATTAAGAATATGATTTTCTGTGTAAAGACCACCATAGGGGATCATTACTGTTCTTGTGTATCAAATGGTTGAACTGCCATTCCCGTAGGAAAGGGGAACACAAATCTTTCTTTGCCTATGAGTTTCCTTCTGTTCACTTCACATGATTTCTCCAGACCAGGCCATTCCTTACTAGGGATTCTCATCTCATTTGTTATTGAAGAATTTGCTGCCTGCTCCCAAGATTCTGGTCTGAAAAGAATTCTAATATTTGGTAGGAAACTAGGACCAGACTTTGTACTTCCTCCTCTTTCTTAGATCAAATATTACTTCCTTAGAGGGCCTTCCTTGACCCCACACTTCATGTCGACGTCCCCAGACACATCAACCTTAATTTCTTCATAGAAGTTTATCACAACCTAAAATTAACTTGTTTCTTTGTTTACTGTCCCACTTCTACTAAAGCATAGTCTCCAGAAGAGCAGGAATCCTCTCTGTCTTGCTTCACCTTTTGCATTTCTAGTTTTTAGCACATAGTAGGTGCTTTAATAATATTGTGAATGGGCTTGGTGCCTGTAGCTGAAGTGGCTAACGCACCAGCCACATACACCAGAGCTGGTGGGTTCGAATCCAGCACAGGCCTGCCAAACAATGACAACTACAACTAAAAATTAGCTGGGCGTTGTGGGGGGTGCCTGTAGTGTGTATGTGTGTATGTATATATGTATACATACACACATATATATGTATACACACACACATATATATATTTCATCTGTCACTAAAGAGTACACTCACAATTTTTCAGGCCCACTGGCTTTTCTTCCTTACAACTATATATTTGAAAACAGCATTTACTCAAGACAAGTTATTGCACATATTGCACAACAGTGTGTGAATTCAAAGAGCAAACATTTTAAATAAAAGATAAATTTCAGGCTCGGTGCCTGTGGCTCAAGTGGCTAAGGCGCCAGCCACATACACCTAAGGTGGCGGGTTCAAATCCCCAGCCCAGGCCTGCCAAACAACAATGATGGCTGCAACCAAAAAAATGGCCGGGCGCTGTGGTGGGCGCCTGTAGTCCCAGCTACTTGGGAGGCTGAGGCAGGAGACTCGCTTGAGCCCAGGAGTTGGAGGTTGCTGTGAGCTGTGATGCCATGGCACTCCACCCAGGGGGATAGCTTGAGTCTCTGTCTCAGAAAAAAAAAAAAAAAAAGATAAATTTCAATTAAAGATCATAAAGATTTCCATGAAGAGAAACCCATCACCAATGTCAGGAAAATTCAGGAAAAAACAGGGCAAGCAAGAACAACCAAAACTGAAAAGGGACTAATGTGGGCAGTGCCTGTGGCTCAAGGAGTAGGGCTCTGGCCCCATATGCCGGAGGTGGTGGGCTCAAACCCAGCCCCGGCTAAAAATTGGAAAAAAAAAAAAAAGAAAAGGGACTAACGTGAAATTTTTCTAGTCATTCCTTATCAAATTTATTACATTCATTCAGCAAGTCTGGAAAACAAAAACTACAACTTGGGAACACCAGTCTTACAGGGGGATAAATTATTAATCAGGGTGACGGTGCAAAGAGAGGTAGAAAAAAAGTTGCATAGGGTGATGACAGGAAAGCCAGGTGACAGGGACTGCAGCACATCTAAATGCTCATTCTGACAAAACAAACACTTAAGCTCCTTTAAGTAGCCCCAAAGGACAGTTGAGGGGGGAGAGGAGAGGTGAATAAATCCTTCTATCTTTGAAGCTGATCCATAGAAAAGCAGAGTCATCAATTTCCTAAGAACATTCTCAGCCATCTTAAAACGGAGGAAATTAAGTTTACAAAGAATTCCTTGCTTAGGTTTAAGGTGAACAAAGTATAAACTGCAGAATACACAACTTAGGGAGCTAATAATTAAACAAATAAAAGCACAAGTCTTAAGTCCAGAGGCCACTTCAGTCATAGCTAATAAAAGTATCACCTTCAAGTATCTTTTAATCAAATGAGCTAGTGACGTCATAGGTGTATTATTTCTTAATTCTAACAACTTAAAGATGTGTGTTTACCTGGATGAGAAAATTCAGGCTTTGAGCCTCTAATTAACCAGGATCACAAAGGCAAGCACTCAGGATTCGAATCCGGCTGCCTGAGCTACTCAATACCACCACAACCAACAATCAACATAGTAGTTGAAGTTCATCCTTACCAGTCACCGAAGAGATGAGTTTTGAAGAAGGAGTATAAAAAGGGCATTTGACTTTCACTCTCTCTCCAAGTAGAACAGAACTGAGCTGTCAAAAACAGAAAAAGAAGTGAGAGCGGCTGCAGCCCGGGCTCTCCATCCCCGCAGCTCGGGACCGAGCCCGCCACGTTCGGCTCCCGCAGCCCAAGCCGGACTTGGTTCTCCACCCCGGGCCGACGGGGCCGCAGCTGTCAGACCCGGACCCGCAGGGACGCGGCCCATAGGAAGGGACAAAGAGCTTTCCTGGCCGCAGCCGGGGGCTGCTGGCCCGTCCGGTCCGCGGCGGGGCGGGGATCCCGGCCGGGGGCGCGGCGGGGGAGGAGCGGCAGCCCGGCGGAAGGGCTGTGCGAGCGGCGCGAGCGGCGCGGGCAGCGCGGGCAGCGCGGGCAGAGAAGCCGACCCTGCCGCGTCCCCTGAGCCTCCTCCCAGTTACCTTGCCTGTGGGCTTCCCGTCACGGTCGCCGCAGCCACTGGGCTTCTGAGGCCAGGAGGCGCAGCGAAAGCCGATTAGCGGGCGTCAGCTGAGTCCGGCACTCGTGCAGCAGCCTCCAGGTGCGGATGGAGAAGGAGGAGGTGGGAGTCGGGACGCGGTTGGTTTCCAGCCTGTGGAGATCTTACTCCTCTCGTCCCTCGCACTCCGCTTCCGCTCCGCCTCCTGGCCCGACCGTTCCCCGACTTCAGGGGAGGGCCGCCCGCGGCGCGCGGCATTGTGGGGGATGTAGTCCCGGAACGAGGAAGGGGAGGCACGTGCTTCCAGCCTGCAGGCACCTACTGCGGGTCAGGACCACACGGTTGCGCGGCAACCAGAGAGCGGCTTCAAGCTCCTTGCGCATTGGAAGACGAGCCTGTTAGATTTGTATCCTGCGCCTTAACTCGCTGAGGACGCTGGAAGGAGGGCTCAGGCAACTTACTCCCAACCTCCATCAGCAACTCAACCCCTGTCAATGCTGTTGAGTTGAGATCAAGGAGTTTAGTGGTGATCAGTGTGCTGCAGACAAGAATGTCCGTTATTGCCACTCAAGGTCTTTAGGCAATGGAATAAGGCAAGAAAAATAAAAAGTAAAAAAGAAAATGATTTTTAAACAAATGCGATAGTTACATAAGTGACAAATCCAAAAGAATCTACAGGTAAATTGTTACAATTACTAAAAGAGTTTAACCAAGTTAGATACAAAAATCAAAAATGTTTTAAACTTGATATTGATTTGTATATGCCAGGAAAAGACAATTAATTTCTTAAAAACGTACCATGTGTAGGGCGGTACCTGTGACTCAGTGAGTAGGGCACCGGCCCTATATACCGCGGGTGGTGGGTTCAAACCCGGCCCGGCCAAACTGCAACAAAAAAAATAGCCGAGCATTGTGGTGGGTGTCTGTAGTCCCAGCTACTCAGGAGGCTGAAGCAAGAGAATCACCAAAGCCCAAGAGCTGGAGGTTGCTGTGAGCTGTGATGCCACAGCTCTCTACCCAGGGCCATAAAGTGAGACTCTGTCTCTAAAAGAAAAAAAAAAAATACCATGTGCAATAGCTCCAAACAAATAGCAAGGACCTAGGAATAAATCAAAGTGCAAAAACTGTATGAAGATGGGTGGTGCCTGTGGCTCAGTGGGTAGGGCGCCGGCCCATATACCAAAGCTGGCAGGTTCGAACCCAGCCCCAGCCAGCTAAAACAACAATGACAATTGCAACAAAAAATAAATAAATAAAGAAAGAAAGAAAGAAAGAAAGAAAAGAAAAGAAAATAGCCAGGCATTGTGGCGAGTGCCTGTGATCCCAGCTACTCGGGAGGCTGAGGCAGGAGAATCCCTTAAGCGCTAGAGTTGGAGGTTGCTCTGAGCTGTGATGCCACAGCACTCTACCAAGGGCAACATAGTGAGACTCTGTCTCAAAAAACAAAAAAACTGTATGAAGAAAACATCAGGAGACATTGAATGAGATCTAAATAAATAAGATAATCATCAGCTAAAAGAGTCAATAATGAAAGATATCAAGTCTCTCCAAATATATCTATAGACCCAATGCAATTCCACATGAAATCTCATTAGATTTGAGTGTATGTGTGAGATACTTCACAAGATAATTTAAAATGTAATGGAAAGCAAGAAAGAGGAGGAATGGCTGGGCGAGGTGGCTCAGGTCTGTAATCCTAGCACTCTGGGAGGCTCAGGCAAGTGGATTGCCTGAGTTTAAGAATTTGTGACCTGGCTCGGCGCCTGTGGCTCAAGTGGCTAAGGCGCCAGCCACATACACCCAAGGTGGCGGGTTTGAATCC